CAAGCACTTGAGCCATTTTCATAGCACGATTTTCCGCTTTTCCCCAACACCAGTTGACAATTGTCGGATGATTGGGCCAAGAGAGAAAAAGAGGAAATCAGAGAAAACAATCCTTGAAAATAAATTTAATTTCAAGTTAAAGTAAATACAGAATTTTCCCAAAAATTTTCAATAATTTTCATTGGAAATTTAAACCTCTATTTTCCGTTTCCCCCCAAATACTTTCGGCCTTTTCCCCCCACCAAACTAATGGCCCTTTAATATTGACTGACAGTCTCAGCCACTGATGATGGGAAATGCCAACAGCTGCAATTTGCACGGCGGCTGTGTGCACTGAGAAAAATGGTTAATAACCTTAAGATAATAATTTATAAAAGAGGAGAAAATAAATACTTATAAAAGGGTTTTTAATTAGAAGAAATATGGCTTTAAATTCATTATTAAACCCCTTCATTTATTATTTGAATTTTCTACTCATCACAAATTATACGAAAATATTCGTTAGACTTGATTTACTTTAATAATTATCCCTATTATTTATTTAGTATTTTTCACATGTTTTGTGATGTAAAGATACCCCAATTTCTCTCAGTGTTAGTGTGTGTGTACGACTCAAATGACAAGGCAGGCGACGGAGGAAGGACAATCGATGGCGCGAGGGGGCAATCCCAGAGTTGGCACTGGAATTTTTGGTAACTACATGCTCGAAACCAATCAAAGCGGCGAAATGGAACCCCTTACACTGGCATTTCAATGAAGACCAAAAGCGAAAAACGCAAAATAAAAAATAGAAAAGAAAAGAAAAGAAAAGAGGAAGGAAATCTGGGAAATGAATAACGCAAGACGACGACGACGATGGGGACAACGCATGACTGAAACCGAATATGTAATAAAATGCGCCAAAAAGAGAGCAGCCCCCAAATTGTGGGATAAGAAAATAAATACGGGCGGGCCAAGGATACGGGTGCACTGGGAAAAATAATAATACTATAACAGTTTGAAATTGAATTATATGATAATATCCGGAAATCCATTAAAAACTAAGCTTATCATACTTGCATTCCTTATATCGATATCTATGAATATTTTTTCGACAAATCAAAATTTAAAAATCTCATAACTCCGCCAAAAAAGCATTAATTTCAATTCGGAATGTGGTCCTATGCTAGTTTTTTTTAGGTTAATAAATCTGCATACTCAATTTAAAATGTGAATTTTTGGCCGATTTTTGCTAATTTTCATGATGTAACCCCTTTCCTTTTTTTCAAAAAATGGGAAATTTTTGAAAAAAATTTTTCTTGGCCGGAGATAGCTAGAAAGATTCCCCTGTTGATGCTGATCAAGAATATATATAATTTATAGGGTAGAAAATGACTCCTTCACATAGTTTTAAGCTTCTGACTAAAATTAGAATACCCGAAATTAAGGTATTAATTAAACTAAAAGAATTATTTATTTCTTTCACTGTTTCTTTGATTTCAAATAGCTTTCAAAGCAGAGAGTTTATTATAAGACTTCTTTGTCTTTGAAATATAATAATAGCTTTTTTTTAAATAAAATATAAGCTAGGGAATATATTAACTTATGTCTTGGCTATTCAATAGTTTTCTAGGCCTCTTCCTATTCAGATAAAAATATATATAACAGTCTTCATAAGATATATAAAAGTAATAGCTTTATTTAAGTACATTAAATTTTGTCTAAGTATATATTATTTACCAGTTAAGTTAGTTTCCATTTCGTATACCTATTTTTTATTTTTTTTAGTTTTTATAAAACTGAAATTCCTTCAACCTGCTGTTTCATAGATATACCTTCTTAAGCTTATTTATTTAATATTTAATCTTTGCCAGAATCAATTCCAAACTTGTTAGCCTTCTTACTGCCTCTCTTTTCCTGACCAAAACTATGATGATGATGATGATATGACAAATCCCAGAGCAGGCCCAGCTAAAAAAAAAAATAACTTGGTATCTTGGGGCCAAGTGTTGCCATCCAATTTGAAGCACATGCCCGAAAAGGGCCCAAAGGGGTTTAGGCCAAAGAGAAACTTTAGCTGGAAATGGAGACGGAGACGGCGATAGAGACTGAGGCTGAGATGTAGATGGAGTTGTGAAGTGAAACGCTGGAGTTTAGGGGCCAAAGGAGCCGGTGTCGAGGACCGTCGCCCACTTGTGTAAATTGTAGCCAATCATGATTTAATAGATAAAAAACTGAAAGAGTTCAAGTGGATAAAGCATAAAGCGTCATGCACACACAAAGAGGAGGGTGTACATACATACGTATGTCCTGGCATATCCTGGATCCTGTGTCCTTCGCCTGGGGTGGCTGGTTACATGCAAACCATTTTAAGGACTCCCCCAGGATCGATCTTAGCTAAAGCTTGGGCTAATAGTGGCCACCGCAAAAGCGAGCGGGGAAAAATGCCAATGGGGAAAACTGGCGAAGGCAACTTCTGTCCTAAGATATATTGAAACAAGACGGGGAGAGGCATAAAAAAATAATATATATATATATAAAGGAAGCTGGGAAAATAAAGCAAGGCACGGGAGAGGGTGTGAGGGTGGGAAAATCTGGCTGAAACTCAAGTGGAGTCTTCAAGTTCCTAGTTGGCTCTGACTCCCGGGCTCCTTGAAACTGCTGCCTGTCGATGACGGAAATTGATAAACGCGCAAAGGGGGAAATGTTGTTGCTCATGGCGCAATCAGAAATCTGCCCAGGGAACTCTCTATCCAACCCGGAATCCGGTAACCAACCTTCATCCCCTCCCAAAAAATCAAAATCGAAATCAAAAATTGAGCAGCTTTTGATGACAGCTCAAGTGGCAGAGCAATGGGGCTAGGCTTTTAGCTATCGATTACATAGGTCTCAAAAAGGGGGTTTCCCCTATCAAATTTTTGTAGCTGTAAAAGCTCATTCTCTATTTTTTGTGCCTAAAAGAAGATTCTTCAAATTAAACCCGAAGTTAAGAAAAATACTATTAATTAACCAGACTAAAAATATATAAAATATAAACCTCTTTTGGTAGGAATAAAAATATGTGTTAATTCCCCATAAAAAAGCTATTTAAAAGCCTAAAAAAAATCTATAAAGTATGTTTATATACCTCTCTTTCCTCCTTAACCCGTAATTATTTAAAGTTAAGTAATTTAAGAGCCCCCTCTGCCTAATGGGTTAATGCTATGACCCCAGGCGCAGGCATCAAGGAAGCATGAATTAATCAAATTGCAAAGTGCGGCCGGTCGGCAAGAAAAGAAAAGCAAAAAAAAATATATATATATAAATAACGAAAGAAAAGAGCTCACAAACGAGGTTGGGAGATTTCCGCCCCCTTTGAAGCTTGGGGAAAATGAGAAGGAAAAGCCAGGCAGAGGCATCAGCTATGCGCTAATGAGCGACAGACAACAAGGCATTCAAACCAAGGAAACTTAATCCACAAAATAGTGTGTGTGTGTGTGTGTGTGTGTGTGTGGAGGGAAGACAAGAGCCAAGACAGGCCGGGGAAAATGCAAAAGAAAAGCCAAGGAAAACAGAGCCAGAGCAAACTCAACAAGGAGTTTATTAAACAAAAAGGTTATTAAGATAAATACAATATTTAATTGGTCTAGATGAGGAGCTTCGAGGAGCTTGAAGGAGCCTCCCAGCTGGTAGTTCTTTAATAAACTGTGCGATTTTTTTTTATATATATAAAACAGATGCCAAGGAGGCTAAAGATTTGGCTTCTGAATAAAGATGGACTTCCCAGGACAGTGCCAGACATGCCAGAAGTGCTTCAAAGACCAGGCTACCAGGCGCAAAACTTCAACATCAACTTCAACTTCAGTTTCAGTTTCGGCTTTGGCTTTGGCTTTGGCTTTGGCTAAAAACTTCAGTCTGCATATTTCTGCACTCTGCCACTTTACTGTTTTCCTATTTTACTTTTTCCTTCTCTCTTAACCTTTTCCTTTTTTTGGTTTTCTTTTTTTTTAACAAGAAGAAAAAAAGAGGTGAAAAGAATTGAAACATTTGCATGCCAGCTTGTTTTTCTTTTATACCCTTTAATTGGGGTATCCTGCAATTGGCTCCGGGGGAAAGCAATCTTGTTCCCAGGTTAGCCCATTTAATTGCCGCTTTGTCTATGACACTACACTAACCGCAGTAAAATGGTCCATTAAATAGTTTAATCAGTATACACATTAACATAAGGGAATAGGTAATTATTGTAGAAGAAGTTTGAAGAGTTATTGAGGCATTTTTAATTGGAAATATTGCTTACTTATTAATGATAGTCTATTATTTATTAATTATTGAATATAGAAAAAAATCCAGAATATAATGTATAGTAGAAAATGGTATAGAAAATAGTATGGAATATATAATAAAATATAAAATAGAATAAAGAATATTATGTAGAATAGAATATAAAATAGAATATAGACTATAATGTAGAATAAAATATAGTTTTACTTATTATTCATTCATTTATTTATTACAAATTTTAAAATGCTTATTTTGCATTTAAATTTTCTGCTAAAAAAGTACAAATAATTACTACTTTTATCAAAGTAATTGTTTAGAAAAAATGAAGTTACGTTTCTTTAACAAAGCTTATTTACCAATAAGATTATTTGTATAATTTACAATAGGTTTTTTGGGAACTTTTTTAATATTTTAATAATTATATCAAATATATTTCATATAGAATTTTCAGTATTTATTTAATTAACACACTTTCCTGGTAAAAATGTTATTTTATTATTAATGGTCTTCTTAATTTAATGCTCTGATTTTGAAGCGGATTGAAACAAGTACATAAATAAGTATATATATATATATATATAAATATTCTACATTTTAGTCTATAAATGTTTTGTTTTTTGGCTTTCCTTTAATATCCTCAAAAAGGATATTTATTTTCATACTCATTTTGAAAGTTCCCCAAGTGTATTCACCAAGTGTATTAAAATCCTCTACTATGTAAATTTAAGCTAACATTTTGCTTTGTATTTTTGCTCTTGTAGTTTTTGTGATTTGTGTGGCTTTCAAATTGCAAAATTCGCCGAGGCTGACATTTTGTTGAACAACAACAACAACAGCAACAGCAGCAGGAATATCAACAGGAGCAGGACCAGGACTAGGACCAGGACCTGGTCTTTGAGCATGGAGCATCAGCAGGATGCAGGAGCAGCAACAGGGAGTCGCCATAGAAAAACATGGTTAAAAAAAATAAGCCCGGCTCACGCGTGGTTATGGAAATGGATCCCATGGCCAAGGGACGGGGACGGGAAGAGTCCTTATGCTGCCTGGACCAGGGTCTATTGTTGGGGACGTGGCCTACATCAACATCTCCATAGCTCAATCCACATTCAAGCACAGCACTGGCAAGGAAAATAATAGAGAGTACTGTGTAATACCCAGTAATATGTTCAATCAAAAGCATATCTGCTTAGAAGGTTGGTAAGTAGTTTTTGATAATTATTAGTACATTAATTTTAGAACTTTTTATTGGTATATCTCATGTATTATATACCAATAATTACAGGTTGTTTAAATACATTTTAAAAGTTATTATAGACATTAAAAGAAAGTTATTATAAGAAATATAAATTTTGAACTTGAGTTACTTTAGACTCTTGCTTAATTTCAAAGATGTAAATACTTAAAGGAGTAGAGTGCTTAAAACAATTGAAAAATGTATACTTTATAATATAGAACCAAAAAAAAAAACCCTATTTGAAACAGGATTGCCTATGAGCCCATCCTTAGGGTATCCCTTGTTTCCCTTGACATATGGCTATATTTCCCTTTTTTGTTTAGAAATTCTCTCAGTGCAGGGACCTGTCATCCTGGCAACCAGTTGCTAAACCCACTGCCACCCACTTTCAGGGTTGTTATTGTCAACTCTCCCCCCACCCAATGGGCATTGACACCTACAATTCGCTCCCCTTGCCACCCCCAATTGCATTGGCAATTGCACTGCCTTGTTGGAGGGGGATGGGGGTTTGGTTCTATTGGTGTTACTGCCGTTGTCGCATAATTTAAGCCCGTCGTAGTGCAGGTGTCATCCCCGGGATCTCAATCCCAATCCCAGTATCCCAACATCCGGATGCCAAAGTTGCCTTGGTGATTGCCATAAAGCAACTGTCATGCCATACCGATTGTGTCTGGAAATAGATTCAAGAAATGCTTTGTTATATAACAAGAAATAGAAATATATAAAAAAGAGAAGTATAAATTGTACAAGGAAATGTTAAACATGCTTTAAACTTTAATCCGTTGACTAAAAGTTGAAGAAAAACCCATTGAAAAACTATGAATTTAAATAAATGCATACAGCTCTATCATATCCTTGTTACCAATTCATTTCGGAATGTATTGCAAATGCAAATGAAATACAAATTAAATAAATATATATATATATGCACTACTTTACCTTTGTATTTATGTATATATATATTCATTGTTATATATATACATACGTTCCCTCGTTAGTTCTACTTTTCTTCAACATCTTTCCCTCCTTTCTCCTCTCTTTTTTTGGCTTTGGCAAATCCAATTTGCTGGCATTTTTCACAATTGCACCGCAGAATTCTTTCCGTCGCACAAATAGAGCAGCGAAAATCCCACCAGCAAGAGAAAAACGAGGGAGAAAAATCGGAAAAACCAAAACCAGATCGTTACCCCCGCCGCTAAAGAGAATCCCCCCTAAAAAAACCCCTTTTTGCCAAAGCCATCGCCCAGGTAAATTGGCCGCAGGCAGCGAGGCAAATATTGATATGCATATAACCTGGAACACAGGTATATATAATATATATGAATATATATATTTTTACTATATATATATATATATATATATATAGTATTTGTGGGCTCACACATATTTCATATATATGTATCAAGGCTATGGAGGTAAAGGTACAATAGGAGCTAGGAATTTATATATTTAGGGGAAAGGTATTATATGATAAATATCACTTTTAATACATTGATACATATTAAAAATATAATAAAGTTTAATGTATGAAAGTAGGTAATTTATGATAAATATCACTTTTAAAAATATAATATAGCTTAATGTATTGAAATTAGAAATATAGAAAAGTATAGATTTTCATGTTTAAATATCTGTAATAAATATATAACTAAATAATTAATAGATAGCTCCTTTATTTATTTTTATTTAATCCAAGCATTAATGGTTTAAGCCAAGTTTAGGCCTTATTTTTGATATATCTAACAGATTATTGATTAAATAACACATAAATTGTAAAAGACAAACTTCTTGTATATTAAATTTTAATTATAAATATCGATATACCAAAATTATTGATAAGAAGTCAACAGAGAATATACCTCGCGAGTTACTTTTATAATTTTTCAAGGCAGCTTAGCTGGAATTCCATTTTGAAAACAAATAAAATAGATAAATAAAATTTATCGAGTATAAAATAAATATTTAAATGTCTAATTAAATTTTGTAAATATTTATTCACTAAGAATACCTAACTAAATGCACTCTACTGTGGCCGTGTGGCTGCATCCTCACATATAGAATTGATTAAACAAATATTTGCATTCATCCTTCCCCTCTCCCCCCCTTCGTTGATCCTTTCAATTTTTTGTCTCCTGTTCATTTTTTTTTTTTTTGGTGTAGAGTTCATGTTTTGAGTTGTTGTTGTATTGTCGTGTGACAAATCCTTGCAATTACCGTAATGCCAGCGGCCTTGAATCGAAGAACCTTCGTGTATGGTTGCATATGTATATATATGTCGATATTTACATGACGAACATATGTCCTGCACTGGGTGGATCCTGGGTCACTTTTGGTCATTTTGATGGCAATTGTGCCTTGTGTGTTGTTTGGTCATTTTATTTATGGAATTATTATTTGCTTGGCTTTAGGCCTTGGGCTGTGTGCTGTAATTTTAACTTGCCCCTTTGCCAAATGAAATATACAAAACGTTAGTTAAGGGAAATATATATTTTTCAACTTTATAATAATCACCCTTCTTCTATTCCTCCCCCAATAAGAAAGAAATAACCATAAATAAGGGAAAGGCTGTCCCGTCCTGTCCTGTCCTGGCTGTGCATTGTTCATTTGTTGCTCCTCGCAAAGATTAATTGCACTCGCAGGCTGGCTGTTTCCTGAAGGAGAGGTGGACAGGAGCCCCCGGGATGCTGCCAATGGATCCCTAGGATACCCGGGCCAAAACCAAAAGTTCGGGAAATGGCCCTGACGATGACAGCTACAAGGTCCACCCTGGGTTGGACCCTGGGAGGGAGGCTAATTGGGAATTGGCTCCTGCTCCGGCTCCTCGGCCACTCGGATGCTCTGGGATTTGGTCACTGGGCAAAGGCAGATGTTGTTTCTCCATCGTGTCGGCAGCTGTCAGTTGGCCCAGCATTTTGGCCATAAGTTTTTGGCCATATCGCATGCTGGTGCTGCCCCCCCCTCAGCCGGGAATAGTATCTGAGGGATGCAAATGTATCTGAAGCTTGGTGTCCAGGTGGCGTCTACCAAAAACTCGGACAGCTTGATTGATTTGTTGACTCCGTCGGTGGCCATTTTTGGTCCAACCATCTGCGGGGCATGTAAAATAATTCTAAATTTTGTCCTCATCCACATGCTGGCCAAAACGATGATGAATGTTGGTTTTAGGGCCGTGATAAGTAAATGGATGTTTTCTAGCCAAGTTGAGTTGTGTCTGGCTAAAACTAAGAGAGGAAAAATTGTGAAAATTAAGAGGAATTTAAATTTAGAACAAGATCTTTGAAAAGGTTATTAATCTAACTTAAACTTAAAGCCAGCTCTAGGATTATTTATTAGAGTTTCTAAAATATTTCAAAATAATATTTTAGTATTTTTGATATCCAGAATATATGTATATATTTAATATAGCAATTAATTAACTTGAGTCAAAAAACCTTTTCCAGCTACTTTTGAAATAATTTTTCCTTTGACTTTTTGGCATCATTTCTATTTCCAGAGCATCTGCTGCCCCGTTGACTGTTGGCCTTGTTTTTGGTTTCTATTTTTTTTTTGGGTATAATGACCATGCAACAGCAGCTCCTGTGGAAAAGAAGCAATGACTCCACTGGTCAATGGCAAATGAAAAATGGCCACTCCAAAATGCAACTTCAAGCTCAACCTCAACGCAACTCATCTCCCGGCTGACTTTCACATTTCGCTTTCATTGCCACAGCGACATAAACAACACGGTAGCAACATCCTTCAGCAAGGAGCAGGAACAGGACCAAGAGGAGGAAGAGCAGGAACAGGACCAAGAGGAGGAGCAGAACAAGGACCAAGAGGAGGAGCAGGAACAGGACCAAGAGCAGGAGCAACATCAGGACTAGAAGGAAAAGCTGGATCCTCGTTTGCCCTCGCCAAATTGGAAAATATGTGAGTGCTTTTTGATTTTGTTTTTCCCCTTCTTGTCGCTGTTTTGCAATTTTCCTGCCATATTTCTTCGTGTTGCATCCACTCCGTCAGCTCACCGTCTTGGTTGCTTTCGCCTTTTAATACCCAGCAGTCTTAGTTGGGGAAAAGGGGTATATGCATAAATATTAAATATGATTTTAAAAATTGGAAATAATAAATGTTTGAGAATATAAAATAAGAAAGAGTGTGTTAAAAGCTATAATATATACCTCTTATATTCTTTGATTCACTTTAAAAGGCCCACAAAAGTATGCTATGCCAACTATTGGTTTTTAATCACTATTTATTGAAATTTTTATATGTCAATTTTTGTGGATTAGGCTAAGCTTAAAAAATTCATAACTAAGTCAAAAATGCATTAATTTTAATTCGGAAAGCGTTCTTATGTTTATTTTTAGCTGGTTAACAAAACTGCATACTCCATTTAAAAATTAATTTTTGGCCGATTTTTTAACATTTTAACGATGTAACCTCTTTCTATATTTTCAAAAAATGGAAAATTTCTGAAAAAATGTTTTCTTGGCCGAAGATAGCTAGAAAGATTTCCCTGTTGATGCTGATCAAGAAAATATATGATTTATGGGGTCGGAAATGACTCCTTCACTTAATTTAAGCTTCTGGCTGAAACCATAATACCCTGTAATGGTAGAAATATGGCAAAATAATGTTTTGTTTTAACATTATAGAGCTTTTAGTGCCAGGTATTTTCTAGTCCTTACACTTCTAACTACCTTTTTTATTTGTCTCCTCTGACTTTTAGGTTTTGTTTTTCTGCGCTTTCCCCTCGACAGCCTCAAGTCAAGTTAGTCGAGTTAGAAATTGGAAAATTGCACGGCAACCTGGACAGGTTTTTTTCGGCCAAAAGAGGAGGAGGATGAAGAACAGGATCGAGGAGGAGCAGGAGCAGGAGCTGGAGCAGGAGCAAGGAGGAGCATCAGCAGACGTGCCAAAGATGCAGCGCAATCTTTCATGGCACTCTCGCCGAGCGTTGACAATGACAGGAACGATACAACGTACACTCACTCACACACACCCAAAACACCCAAACACTCATACACCCACTCATACACAACATCATTCACACTCATACACAACACCCAGAAGCAATGGCAATAAAACTAGCTGACATTTTGATAACGAGCAGCCACCCAAAAATGGCCAATGGCCAATGGCCAATGATGATGCGAATTTTCTAGTTGCGAATTGAAAATAGTGCTTGCCAATAAATGGCAGGACCCGTTGAAGGCCAGAGTTGAAATCGGACTTTACCAAGGCTTCCAGGAAAGGTAACACAAAATGTTGCACTCAGAGAGGAGCTTGTCAGAGGTAATTAAAAAAAGAAAACACTCAAGAGGAAATGTCTCTGTTATTATGGGAAAAAATATATACGTTTCAAAAGCATTTTCCAAATCTTGAAACATATTGAAAAATATTTAAATTAACACAAAAATATTTATATAAACGAATGATAACTGATATGATTTCACTGATTTGTCTTTTAAAATTTGTAAATATATTTTGAATCTATAATTTTATATGAGATAATATTTTCAACAAATCAAAGTTTAATAGTTTCATAACTTAGCCAAAAAAGTATTAATTTAAATATGATTTTAAAGCACATTTATAGTCACCTTAAAACATTTTGTGCTATCTTTAAACTGTTTTCAATCTCTAAAATATATAAGCTACCTAAAACTCTTTCCTTTCAATCTAAATTTTATACACTGAATCAAGATTAAATACATTTAAAACTCATTTGAAAGCTCCTTTAAACGCCGTCAATTAAATAAATAAATGAGTTTTGGCATCTGCCACCTGAATTCATATACTTTTTTCCTTCATTTATTTTTTGCTCCATCAAAACATTCATTGCAATTGTCAACTTCTATTTTAGATGATATTCGCTGCACTCGAACACCTGACGTTAAATCAATATCAATTGAATCCGTGGAAATTCGCGCTTTACGATTGCTGCTCCTTCGGCTTTTCCTGGAAATTCCACTACCACCCACCACCCCCCCCCATTTTTCACACACCTCCGCCTCCCCCTTAATGCCAGCATTTTGTTCTCTAATTTGGCAGCCATCGACGTGCTTAGCAGTAAAAATATGCAACTGCGGGATTAGGAATGACTTTTCCGGTTGAAGGAGGAGCGAAGAGGTGAGTTGTGTGAAAATCGACGAGGGGAAAAATCAAGGAAAATCGGATGAAGGGGGGAATGGGGGAATTGTGGGGTTGGAGGTTGCCTCTGGAGACAGCCATGGCCGGAGTGCCCCATTGAGAAGTTTCAAGTGCCGAACCGAGCGGCGTGCAAAAAGTTGGCTGCAGTTGCAGTTGCACTTCGGACCAAGTGGCGGGCGTGGCCATAAAACAAATGCCAACACAGTGGCAGCATCCGGTGGGAGAGAGGGGGGATATAGAGCGGGGGGATTGGGAATACACTGAAAAATTATACCAAGAAATATTTAATTACAACTCAATATTTAACATGAAGAAATAATAAGAAATAACACTTTGAAGTCTCCCTGAAAATTACAAATAATGCAATGATAAATAAATATTAAAATAAATATTATAAATATTTTATCTAAAAACTTTTTGTGGAACTACATTTTTAAAATGTATTATTATAATTTTATAAACAACATTTCTTATAGAAAAATTAATTTGAGAGAAATTGTTATACCGAAAAATTTGAAATACACTTTAATGGCATTTAAAGACCATTTTTCAAGTAAATATTTTAAAAATATATACATTATTTATATATAAATATAGAATTACATTTGTAAAATGTATAATTTTAATTTTATAAAAAGCTTTTCATATAGAAAAATTAATTTGAGAGAAATTTATATACCAAAAAGTTTGAAATACACTTTAATGCAAATGGAAAACCATTTTTCTAGTAAATATATTATAAATATATACACAATTCATATATAAATATAGAATTACATTTTAAAATGTTTAATTTATTAATTTTAGTAACAACATTTCTTATAGAAAAATTAATTTGAGAGAGATTTATATACCAAAAAGTTTGAAATTCACTTTAATGGAATTTGAAGAACGTTTTTCAAGTAAATATATTATAAATATATACACAATTCATATATAAATATAGTTTAAAAACCTTTTACCTTGTTATTTCTCCTCGTGCACATATATCTCTATATATAGATATACACCTGAATCTTAGCTAGACATCGTCGTTGTCATTGTCGTTAGCAAATATATGGCCAAAGAGGATCAAAGAACGTTGCACGTTCCCCTTTGGCGCAGGGGTAAAAAAATAATTGCAGTCTACAGGGGACAGGGGAGGGGAGGGGAGGGGAGAAGGCTGGGTGCCAGCCAAAGGACGAAAGGACGAGGTCGCCGGATGCACAAGTGTGTGTGTGTGTTGCAAAAGAGAGAAAAAAAGATAGAAAAAGGAAGGAAAACTGGAGAAGGAAGCTGGCTTGGCTCAGGGGTGTTGCATTCATTTTGAAAGTCAAATTCCCTTGTTACCAACTCTCCACCTACCATTACATGAAGGGGCGTGGCAGTTGATAGAAGGGGCGCAGGGCGCTAAGCCTCCTTAATGTCATTTGTCATCTTTTGGCCAAGTACCAAGCGGGAGAAGGGGAGAGCTGCAGTTGGTTCTGTTTGCCATTATGCAAATATTATTTCGTGCCAAAAAGCTGCTGTCCCTTCATTCCCCCGGCGGGACCGGAAAACCGGAAATGGGAAATAGGGTGCACTTCCGCTTCGCTACATCGCCGCACAGCACCGCTCCGCTCCGCACTTTAGTTGCCATTTATAATGAAACAGGGGGGGAAAGTTGCCATCAAAAGGGGAAGAATGACCTTAGAAAATCTAGAAAAAAATAAAGATACCAAGGAGTTTTCTTGATTTTGACAGAAATCGTAGCTCTAAAGCTCAAAGAAATATATAAACTAAAAGAATTTAACTGATCTTGTGCTATATATTCTGTTGATTGTTTTAAAGTTTAGTCTGGCAACTATCGATTGTTAATTTTTTAATCGACTTTTTGTCATTCTCAGGGAACGCAACTTTGTGAGAATTAATAAACCTGGCAACGCTGTCCCCAAACAAATCACATGACATGGTAAGCATCGCACCCAACTTTGCTCCAAACACCAAATATATATACTTTCACAAGGTAAAAAACTAAAATAAAACCCGCAATGAAAAATAAATTAAAGTGATTTCTTTTATTTAGAAGCAAAAGTAATAGCAATAGCAGTGAACAATGGATGCCAACGGAGCCAAAGCTACAGATCGCCAAGTAAAGAGTCTTCACACTGGCGGCGCACGCACAACGATCCTCTTGACCAATCGCCTGGGCAACTTCTTTCGCCGTATGATTGCCTACCTTGTGAGCTGGATCTATGATTACCTCAATCCGAGTGCTAAAAATTATCGCGATGTGCCCTTGTCACCAAGATGCGATGCCCGATTGGCAGAGGTGGGCCGCAAGACGATGGTCTTGGATCTCGACGAGACTTTGATCCATGCCTGCATTTCTGGTTATAGTGCCCAGAAAACGGGTTGCCTATGCAGGGTGCCGGAGCATATAGAGCCCGATTTTGTGATCAGTGTTGATTATGGTCGTGACAAATTGGTACCCATTCGGGTCTTTAAGCGACCCCATGTCGATACGTTTTTGAATTTGGTCACCAAGTGGTATGACGTAGTCATCTTTACGGCCAGCTTGGAGGATTATGCCAATCAAGTGCTGGATGTATTGGATGCCGGTCGAGGCATATTGAATCGTAGATACTATCGCCAGCACTGCCGGGCAGACAAGTTCCTGACCAAGGATCTCAACATCTTGGGAACGGACATTGGCAGGACCTTCATCATTGACAATCTACCAAAGGCTTATGCCCATTTCCCGAATAATGCGTTGCCCATCAAGAGCTTCTTCTACGATCCGGAGGACATCGAGTTGCTGAAGATTCTGCCATTTCTCGATGCTCTACGCTTCACCAACGATGTGCGCTCCGTTCTGGGTCGTCGGAACTATCGATAATTACACAACGAGAGATATATATTTTTTTAACCATATATAACATAAATATCTATTGGATTCCGGTTGTAACTTTTTGATACATGACTAAATGGAGCACAGAATTGAAATTATCTAAATTACATGGATTGTACGAGAGAAGTTGGAGTTTGCAGAGGCAGCGGATTGCATAGGTTGTGCTATTATTTACTTTATTTGTTTTATAATTTTCTTATGTACTCACCATCCAAAGCTAAGCAAGTGTTGAGCAACATCCTGAAACGAGCAACATGTTGCTAGCACTTCAATGTTGCCAAGGCTTAGCTGCAATTTGAAATTAATAAATAAATCGTTTGTCGTTTGTTAAATATAAAAGAAAAAACTAAAATAAAGCTGTATTACATAGTAATCTTGTGTTGACAAAAGTTAAAGAATTATTTTTAAAACCTTGAAAATTTGTATTTCAGGGCTTACGCGTATATTTTGAAAAACAATGTCACTGGCAGTGATTGGATGATTTTCATTCCTCGTTTTTGGAAGACTAACTAATCAGAAAAAATATGAAGAAAGCCTCTTTCCGGTAAGTACATGAAGTAAATATTTATATATTATTTTATTTGATGAATATTGTTATAATATCAAATTTTATAATTATCATAACTAAGCCGACGATGCATTAATTTCAATTTGGAAAACGGCAAAGTGTTAGTGTTTTTTAGAGTTTTAAATCTGCATACTGAGTTTAGAAGTGTTATAAATTCAATTTTAGGTCAATTTTTAACATTTTAAACGATGTAACCCCTTATAAAATGTTCAAAAATTGAAAAAAATTTGACTATTTTATAAAGCTTTTAATGGGAAATCGTAATATATATGCCATCTGGTAATCAGAAGCCATTTATGATCCCAAAATATCTGCATTTTAGGTATTAAAAATTGATAGTTATCAAAACAATTTTGTTGGAAAGGCCAACATTTAAGGAACTCATAACTCAGCATAGAAATCATTAATTTAAAATTAGATAATTACTTGTAGCTAAATATCTAAACTATATTTGTTTTCTATAAATTTCCCCATCGCCTCAATTAAAAAAAAAAATATTAAAATTATTATACCATCAACGATTTGGTTTGTGCAGAAAAAAATTGATTGCAGCTTTAGGAAAATGTATATTGCAACCAAGAAAATGCTGACAACTTTTAGAAGACATTTAATTTCTATTCTTATCGACATTGCAAAGGCCTGTCACGGCCACTGGTCGACTTTCTAAGGAGGCATTAGATCCTGTTCCATCTGCCACGCCCCCTTATCAAACCCTCAAACCACTCTTCGAATGTCCTAACCTCCATCTATACCACCCACTTTTGGCTGTACACTTTCTGTTTGTGATGCTGTTGACTCCTTTGCCTTTGCAGAGTGAAAATGTCAGATTATTATATACAGAAATAAATAAGAGATTGATTTTAAATACAATCAATACTCAAGTTTACTTAAGTCACTTAAAGAATCTATTTGGTTTTGATTTTTCCACTAGGTTTTTGATTGATTTAATTATATTATTTTTATTTTACTACCCTTTTAGGGTCCCAGGTCTTTAGTTACAATTTTTCGTATGTAGTGAGAACCATCAGCAATTAGTACTGGCAGCTATTTCCCTTTTTTCATTCTAATTTTTCTGACGCTGTCAGTGCGGTTGCGGAGTTATCAGTATGGCAAGGAGCAAGGACCAAGGACCAAAGACTGAGTACTGAGTACTGAGGACCCAAAAGGAGAGACACGGACCGAGGCAGAGATGGGAAATTGATTCGAACTCCGTTGGCAATGTCAGAATGAATTGAAATGAAATGGAACGTGACCAAATTTGGCCACATGTCAATATGCTAATGATGATGTGGTGCTGCCATCTGCCTCATAGCACACAGCCACGCTCACAGTTTCCACATTTTCCACAAAACCCCTTCCCCTACCCCCCTTTCAACAATTTCCTTTTGTCTATTGCCATACAAAAGGGGTATTGGGTCCAGATCCCTTTTGCCCCTTGCAGTTTTCGCAATTGTTTTTGAATTTCCAACTGTGACAGTGTTGGTTAAAGGTGATGAGAAATTGAAATAGAAGTTTATGGGAAATGAGAAATAGAAAGGATTTTTTATAAGAAATGTTTGGTAATTTTTTTGATTAGTTAAGAGATGGGTAATTAGTTGTATAAATAGGTTTTAAGGTAGGAATTGAGTAACAGAGAGTAAAATTCTAGAGAATGTTTTGTAAATTAAGCCGCATTTTGGTTAGCTTTTGCTGGCACTTGATTTATGTTTCAAAAGAGGTTCAGAAAGAAGACAAATTATTAGCTTTACATGAGGAGTAAGTCCTGGAGCAGGACTTGGATCAGGAGCATTAGAATCATCCGGAATACAAGTAACACATTGACAGCCATCGCCTGCGTGAAAAGGCTTTAAGCAAATGGGACACATATGTATGTATGTATGGGGGAAAAGAGCCAGAAGAAAGGAGTAGAAGGAGTAGAAACCCCGGAGAAAGGCCAGAAAGGAGAAAGGATACCAACAGCAACAGCAGCAGCAGGCGTCGCTGGCATTCCATTCCATTCCCCCCATTGCCATGGCCAGGGTTTTCGTGTAATTGGCGGCCCGAAACGAATTGAAATGGGAAATGGCAAATAAATTGAATGAAACGTGTTCCGCACCGCATTGGGAGTTGACCGGCAGGGACGACAAGGACGACAGGGACGACAGGGAGCCCATGGCAGGTGGGCTACTACTACCGAAGTGGGCGTGGCCTGTTGTTGACCGCAAAGTGGCATTTCCCTTTCCCACATCCGCTCTCAGTGCCACTGCGCCCACGCTCCCACGCCCCATTTCCGCTTCCGGCCAGCGTCATTATACATATATTTACCAACAGCACACGAAGATCGCATTGACCGAAAGGCACACATTTTTTTTTTTTTAATATTTTCCACTCTTCCACCGAACCTTAAAAAAGCTCTAATCAGCGGTCGAAGATCGGATTTTTTGGGAGGAAAATGGAAATGACGAGCGGACTTCTTCCAATGCAACTGTCACTGACAGTTTTCCGTATTTTTCTTACCCCATAAAGGGTATTAAAAAAACCTTGAGATTAGGATTTTTTCATAAATTTTATTTAAACTTTATAAACTAGGAGATGCTGGGAATATATTTTAAAGTATTGCACATATCCTGGCTAATGGTGGGCGGGGCTGACTGAGTGTAACAAATAACTTTCTTCGTTCCCTTTGTCGCCCATTGTTTTCCATAGCCAAAAGGAGGGAACTGGAGAGGGGAAAAGAAAAGATAGAAAGGGGGGTGGGAAAAACTAGGGGGAGGAAAAGTGGCAGAATGCCAGCTCAAAGGCAACAAAGAGCGGCGGGCAGATAAAGAATTAATTTAGCACAAATACGTTTACATGCTGCGTAATAGTCGGGCGGCAGTTTGCACTTTTCGCTCGATCCTTGCAAACTCCTCTATATATATATGCATATATCCTATGTGTGTGTGTGTGTGTGTGTGTGTGTGTGTGAAAAGGATGGAGGGAAATGGGGAAATTTGTCTGGTTTGTGCATTAAGCGTAAGCTGCAACAAATGATGGCGGGAAAATGGAAAATGGAGAGCGAGGCGAACGAACAATGGCAACCGAGCCAGAGTCCCCGCAGGACAATGACAATTTGCGGGCGTTGACAGTTGCGTTGCCAAAAAAAGAAGAAGGATATAGGTGGATATAGAAGGATATAAAAGAATATGTACAGGAATAGTGCCGCATTTTGCATATGGCAAAATGTATTTAAATATTTAGAGAGTTTTTGGGCAAGAAAGCTTGATTTATTAGAGTTATTATTAATATTATAATACAACAATATTAAAGATAAAATATGCACTTTTCTGTATTTTTGTCTATTTATTTTTTATTGTATTATTATAATTTTCTTATTTACAAAATGAAGGACTGACATCAACAGGCGAATCTATCTAGCAATTTCTTCCAGAAACAACAATTTTTTTAAAATTTAAAAAAAAACGAAAAGGGGTTACATCGTTAAAATTAAAAAAAAAAAATTGGAAAATTTTGATTTTTTGAAATTTGTAAACTAAGTATACAGATTTGTTAACCTGTTAAAAACTAGCGCAGAACAGCTTTCCGAATTGAAATTAAATCATTTTTGGCTTAGTTATGATATATGAACAACTTTGATTTTTCTTAAAAATTGCCATATAAAAATATCGATTTTATATATAGAATACATATATTTATACATTTACAATCACACATACTTTGGCTTCTCGAATTTAACTTCCTTTCTTGTTCCTTGCTAATTGAAATGTAATTAATATTTTTCTCAGTTTAGTATTTTACCTTAAGTGTGTGCTAATATGACCTCTATATTCCATGGAGATTCGGTGGTGTCTCTCCTCAACCTCCTCTGATTCTTAGTCCCTCCGGTGGCTAACCCAATTTACCTTAATTAACCTGCTAAATATTTCATTAATCAAACATTTCTCCACACACACACTCGTATTTACTCAGAGGTACATATGTCGCTTTCAATTAGGTTGCTCCTGACATTTTTACACCCTGTTAGCAAGCACATAAAAATTCACCTTTTCCTCGCTTCCTCCTCTATTTATTTTTTTGTAGTATTTTATTTTTTCCCCCCATTTCAATATCTTGCATTTGCCATTCCCCCGGTTGTTTTTGTTGTTTGCCAATGGCTTCTAATTACTCACCGCAAGCCCCTCAACTGGTTGACTGACTTAATTACAAATTGCATTATTTATCGGGCGGCAAAGTTCGTCAAACTGCACCAACGTCAGCAGGAAGCTGCAGGACGAAAAGGATGAGGCTGGAGATGAGGATGGAGATGAGGATGGAGATGGGGATGAGGATGAGGACGAGGCTGTGGTCGAGTAGGAGAAGGCATTGAGAAAGGGGTTTTGGCAGCTGGGCGATAAACGATATACGAATGTGTGCGGTTGGGTGCTGCTCACCTGGGAAAAACCCACCCACAGCCTCTTCACTCAATCCTCAATCCATTGGCATTTTCCGCCCTTGGCAAATAACTCAGACAGCAGAGCTCTTTGCAGCTTGGACTCTCCTTTGCAAGGAGTCTGGTCTAACCAAAGTAACGACTTTAAGCTGCCATATTTAGTGGACTGTAAGGTCCTTGGTTCGTTAATTCCAGATTTAGAATTCCAGCGAGCGTTTAGTTTGGTTTATATTTTTACTAAATATGCTTGACGGTTAATGAGTTCAATTTCAGTTCGAAAATACTAAAATTCTATATCTAAATTGGATATTAATTTTTAGTTATCGGAATAAATA